GGGGGGCGGCGGGCGGAGAAGGAAGAAAAACCACGTGGAGGAGGAGAACCTGAGCAAGTGTAACGGAACCTCCTCCCCGGGTTTGAAGCTCACCACCCGGGGCGGGGCGGGGCGGGGGGGGGTTCCCGCCAGCAGGAAGTTAGGCCGGTTTCCTTTTTCTTTTTAGGGTCTGGATCTCCAGCACTGATTTCTAGTCATCCTCATCTTCCTCCCTCCCCCAATGTAAAAAACATTAAAAAAAAAAATCGAATCCGACTTTTGGAGAAAGAGCTTGGAGGCAGTTGCTTTCCCACCTGCGGCGCTGGTTCTGGTCCCCGGCAGTCGGTCTGGGCTGACTTTGACGGGAAGGCTCGCTCCTCCAACCTTGGAGGACGCTTGGTGGGGGTGATTTTTTTCTTTTTCTGGAAAGCACCCTTAACCTCCGCGAGGACAAGTCCGCTCACATTCAGTTCATTTGTTTGGTTGCTTTATTTTATTCTAGCATTTGCCCTCCTGCATCGTGTGTCTACGGTACACAGTGATAATCTTGCTAACTTGCCCTCAGGGTGTTTGTGTTTGCTTTTCTAGCATAAACTCAACCCATTTTAGAGTATTTGAAAACCCAGGGCACCTCTTAGCTTTGTCAAGTAAGTGGCTGTAGTTTTGTAGATACATACAGCTACATTTGTGGTCACGACATCACAGTTGTTTCTAACTTCAGACCACAGAAAGTTTTGAGACTAGCTTTGGCTAAATTTCCTTTAATGAGAGTTTTCAATCTGTGTTTTGTTGTTTTGAGACAAGGTCTCACTTTGTAGCTCAGGCTGGGATTATAGGCATGAAATACCACACCCAACTTTTTTTCTTTGTGTCTTTTCCCTCCCTTCCTTCCTTCATTCCTTCCTTCTCCCTCCTCCTGTCCCTCCCTCCTCCTTTCCTCTCTTAATAAATTTTTTATCTATGGTTCTGTACAGATGTTCTTTAGGATTCTTTTTTTTTCTAGAGGCAAAGTAATGCATACCTTCCTTCAAACACTCAATTTCCTCAGTTTTTAATTTTTAAAATATTTTTGTTAACCGAGTACTTTCTCTTATTGCTAGAAGGTAGCAAATACGTAAAGGATCAAAATATTGTAAGTTCTTACCATTGTTGGTATTGTCATAAATATAGTTTGCTTTAGAATATAACATTGTTTTGCATGCAGCTGGGCCTGTGTTGCTGTTGCGGTTAACCTGTATTTTGAAGTAGGTTAATATGACCTCCTTTCAACTATTAGGTCCAGCTAACTATTACTGCTGGGGGTAAAAGAGATCAGAATTCAATTACCCATGGAAAGGAATTGTTTTTTTTTTTTTATTTTCATCTCACTTTCAGCTATGAAAAAGTTGTGTGCAGTGTCTGGCTTCAGGAAAATGTTTTGTCTGCAGGGCAAGACTATTAACGTGATGATTTCACAGGTTGGCACCTCCGCTGAGCACGGGTGCACTCATTTGTCACAAGAGAGTGAACTTGGAAGCAAACTGGGGTAAAAGAACTCTTGGGCCTTCCTACTTCCCTAACCAGCCATAAGATGACTTGTTGGGTTGAGTCCTTTCAAACTGAGTGAACAGGTAGGCTACAAAGGAAGGCACATCTTTGTTCTTGAACTCATTCAGCTTACTGTTCCCAGGAACATGAGATTTTGGTAATGGGTGTTCTTGACCTACTTGAAAGCAATGCTTTACTTTATTTTTGGTCATTTACATTATGAATTTTTGTGCAGCTTTTAACACTTAGTAAAGGGCTAGCTGGACACTCGTGGCCCATGTATATCATCCTAACTACACCAGGAGGCTGACATCTGAGGATTGTGGTTCAAAGCTAGCCTGGGCAGGAAAATCCATGACTCTTTATCTCCTAGATAAATGGGAAGTAGAGCTGTGGCTCAAAGTGGTAGAGCACTCGCTTTGAGCAGAAGGGTTCAGGGCCACACCCAGGCCCTGAGTTCAAGCTTCATGACTGACCCCCTAACCCCCCAACAAAAAAAAGTAAAGAGGTAACCGAAGGGCTGAATTTGGGGCTAAATTAGCTTTCATCTTTGGCCAGTTTGTGTTGATTTTTCTATGCCAATACTGGGGCTTGATCTCAGGGCCTGCTTGCTGTCCCTTAGCATTTTTCTTTTGCTCAAAGCTGGTGCTCTACTGTTTTGAGCCACGGCTCTACCCACTTTCTGCTTGTTAATTGGCAATAGGAGTCTTACCGATTTCCCTGCCTGCCTGGTTTCTAATTGCTATTCTCTGATCTCAGCTTCCTAAGTAGCTAGGATTACAACTGTGAGCCTTTGCACCCTTTTTGCCAGTTTAATAAAACTGAGCCTTCGGTCTTAACATTTTGCAAATGGATTGACTTTTTTTAAAAAAAGATTACAGAATTCAAATAATTTTATATCTGTTCTTCCTGTAAATTGTATTATGCCTTTTGATTGCCTTGGACAGAACTATTACTGACTTTACAAAGGCTGTAGTGCTGAGTAGACAGGGCAAGACCAGTAAATCCCTCCCCCCCACCGGGTCCCCACGAGAGGGAGAGACCTGTACTGCCCTTCCAAACTCTGGAGTTAAATTTAGACTCAGCAACTGTAATCCCACTGGTAGTGTTCACATTGGCAGCTAACTAGGCTTGTATTTTTATATCTCAGAAAAGGTTAAGATTTTTGTTGTTGTTGTTGGTCGTGGGGCTTGAACTCAGGGTCTGGGCGCTGTCCCTGAGCTCTTCAGGCCAAAGCGAGTGCTCTGTCACTTGAGCCACGGTACCACTTCCGCTTTTCTGATAGTTATTTGGAGATCAGAGACTCAACGGACTTTCCTGCCTGGGCTGGCTTTGAATAGTGATCCTCCTGAGTAGCTAGGATTATAGGCGTTGAGCTACCAGTGCCCAGCTAAGTTTTTTAAAAAAAATTAATTATTATTATTTTTGGTGGTTCTAGGATTTGAATTCGGGGCCTCTATCTGATAGACAGTGCTGACCACATGAGCCCATGTATCTAGTCTTAGTTTTTTTTTTAAGTAATTTAGTTTTTGGGCATTCGTGGGGCCCTGAACTCTGGGCCTAGGCGCTGACCCTGAGCTCTTCAGCTCAAGGCGAACGCTCTACCACTTGAGCCACAGCGCCACTTCCAGCTTTTTCTGCTTATGTGGTGCTGAGGAATCAAACCCAGGGCCTCATGCATTCGAGATAAGCACTATACCACTGAGCCACCTTCCCAGCCCAATATGTTAAAAATTTTAGCTGGGCACCAGTGGCTCACGCGTATAATCCTAGCTACTCAGGAGGCTGAGATCTGAGGATCACGGTTCAAAGCCAGCCTGGGCAGGAAAGTCTGAAACACTTACCTCCAATAAACCACCAGAAAACCGAAAGTGGCTCAAGTGGTAGAGCGCTCACCTTGAGCTGAAGAGCTGAGGGACAGCGCTCAGGCTGAGTTTGAGCCCCATGACTGACAAAAAATTTAAAGACATTTTGTGCCAGTACTGGGACTTGAACTCAGGGCCAAAGCATTTTTCGCTAGCTCTTTTTTACTCCAACCTAGCATTCTACTCTCTGACCTACAGCTTCACTTTGAACTTTTTGTTTGAGATAATGAGTCTACTCTCTGAGCTACAGCTTCACTTTCAACTTTTTGTTTGAGATAAAGAGTCGGGACTTTTCCTGGTTAGCTTGAAACCTGGATACTTGCATCTCAGCCTCGGGCATAGCTAAGTTACAGGTATGAGCCACCAAACTAGCTTTGGGCTTGAGTGATTTTTTTTTTTTTAAAGAAGAATGAATTTGAACTGCTGCTAGCCAGGTGGTAAGGTTAAGAGCTCAGTATAA